GGCTGTTTGAAAAGATCGGTCACCGAGTGTGGAGTACATCTTCCCTTTTGGTAATTCCAGTAATAGATCATCATTACAAGATCGTAATCTGTACCTTCCGGAGGTCTTTAACTTAATTAATTCTAGTATATAATTAAGCGCAAGCCCATGAACAGCCTTATACGTGATCAGAAGGATCTTAAATAAAATACGTTGACGAATGGGCAGCCAGTGAAGTTTAAAAAGTAATGGAGTAATGTGACAATATTTACTAGCCATAAATATCAACCTTGCCGCAGCATTTTGCGCTCTTTGTAACTTTTTGATTTGATAATCTGGCAGCCCAAAATATAAACTAATGCAGTACTCGATACGACTATAAATTAATGCATGAGAGAATGAAATTGGAGAATAAAAATGCCAATCGTAGGGTGTAAAGGGTTAAAATCGCTAGATAACAACATTTCTCAGTGGAAAACTTGTGTACTTAGCTTGGGTTTTCTAACGACATAGCAACAAACAGGACGCAACCTTCTTCAAATTCTCTTATCCGGAAGCGATCAGGGGTATTGCCACTCATTATTCCACTGCAGGTTACCTATGTGTGATAGGTGAGCCCTCTGTCCCAGTTGAGAGTACCATGGGGTTTGAACCGGGATATTAGATGCAAATATATGGCTGTTTGACACTATTGCGTTCTTCATACATCGGCTTCAAACTCTCAGGTATCTATTACTTCAACTTGAAAAGCTTTTTGACATTGACTGACCTGTTCGTAGCGCCAACCACCAAAATTCTTTCATCTGAATTCGTTGTAGCCCCATCCTAGATTAAAATCAATACTGTCAGCCACCTCTCTATTACACTCTACAACGATAACATCACAGCTAAATAAAAAAGTATCTTCTATTCAAGAGTTCAAAAGCAATTTGGCGGAATCTTAAAAAAAAGCACGAGTTTTTGAGGTTTGGCTTCGTTATCTTTCAGCAAACATTATTTGATACATACCAACACTCTTCTGGACATCACATGTTATCAAAGCAATAAAATGCTATAATAGTTATACTGCAGCATCTCGAAAATATATAAATCGCGTGCATGTAGCTCAAAATGCACTCCGATGATTCTGGTTTCTCAGTGCAGAATATGAGGATCATCTTTAGGCAGAGTTAAAGTGCATTTCCATAGCAGGTCACCCCAGCGTCCAACAATTTGTCCAAGTAACCTGACAGTTCGCCAGCACACATTTCATACCTGACTCTGGGTGAAGAAAAGCACTATGAGAGTAAAACGAACCTTTCCCAGGAACGAAATAGAATAACTCGGACAATCAAATACAAGAATCTGCAGAGTTTGATGGAGTGGTGTGATCGTCCGGGTGAGAGCGAAATAGAATATGTCGGACAATCAAATACAAGAATCTGCAGAGTTTGATGGAGTGGTGTGATCGTCCGGGTGAGAGCAGTGTGGGTGTCGGGACCAGTGACTGACGTTTTGACAACCTTTGGGGAAGCCTTCATTAGAGTCGAGTCATTAAACAGTTCCATCGCTTACCAGCTGAACAAGAAATTCGGTTTTTATTCTCCTCGAAGCATCGTGCTCTCCATCCGTTCTTTGCGACAACAGTGAATCTATTTCGTCGATGAAAATTACAGCAGGCAGATGACATCTGGCAACAGCAAACAGTGCACGTACCATCTTTTCGCCCTCACCAACCTACAAAACAGCAAAGACATATTACAATACATCTTATATGTTGGGTCTCTTTTTATAAAGAGATACCTAGAGCAAAGGAAACAATTCATAGTATTTCAAAAAAAAAAAAAAATTTAACTTTGGTCTATGGTAACCTTGAATAAGATGTTAAAAGGAGGATGTAAATTAGTTAGTTTGTTTACTATGTAAAACTACATAAAGAAGACTATCAAATATTACTGCAATAATAAATTAAAGAAGAGCAATGACGGCTTAGGATCGAGAAGACTTTATTAGATCGATAATAATGAACTTGGAAACCTTAGGCAATCATTATTCAAGAGGCTCAAACCGTAGGTCCTCTTCAAAGCCCTTTTGTGACCACCTTTGGGTAAATGAAAAACGGATTTGATATCGCTGAGGTCGTCCCCTGCTCATGCACCAACTTACCCACTTTGATGTGAGAGACGAAGCGCTGATACTAAAGAAAGTAGCCTTTGACTGACTTGCTATACATTTACCTAAAACAAAGATACATATTCAGTATCTGAATACGTTCTGTCCCAATTAAGCGTTACCCGGTGGTGAAAGCTGTCTTGAAGGCAGGGGGAGGAGGGAGAGGAAAAGAGGCGGAGGTTAATTTTCGCTGTTCCACAAGCATGACTCAAAGCATCTTTAGTGAAATATAGTACACAACAGCTTAATATACTAACAATCAAAACATCGGCACATGCGCAACAGAAAAATAAACAGTTGATACCTACCGATTAACGTTTTACCAGTCCCTGGAGGTCCAAAGAGTAAGATACCCTTCGGTGGTCCTCGCAAACCCTTGAAAATGTCACTACACCGAGAAACAAAAAATTTATGTCTATCCATTGTCGTGACCTTGGAAACAGTTCTCACTGAAAACTCCATCTCAATCTAAATTTGATCTTTTGAAGTCGCTTGAGATAATGTATTCTTTTGAATTTTGTCCCCAAGAACGAGGCCAGAAGGGCTAATTCAAATTTAAACAAAAGAACATTAATCCGGCAGCCATTTATGAAAGTGGTCTATTATATCTTCTCTGCTACATCAAAAGAATCGTTTCTTCCAACATACCATCATTAGAATCTCAGAATTCAATTCATATCACACTAGGACAGTGCTGTATTACTACCAAATGCTTTGTACACAACAACGTTACAGATGTGACGGGAAAAAAGTAAGACAGTCGGCATACTGCTACAACGCCATTCAATTCTACTGCTGTGAGACCACTAGGCCTTGAGGATATCCTTACAAAAATAACATTCTGCATAAAACTGTCTGAAAACGTGAAGCGGCAAAATATTTGGATTCACTCACGGTCTAAGCATGGGCCATACAACAATCTCCTTGATAACATTCTTCGCAAATTCAAGTCCTGCGATATCATCCCAAGATAATGGTGGGCCATGATCCATAATCTGAAAACAAAACATGAAAAACATTAATCAAAAAAGTGATTTATTAAAACCAGCTAGATCGCTGTGGTTTGTGTTTCGCTTTGTTTTGTTTTTTTCTTCTTCCAGGCTGGAAAGAAAAGTCTTGTTGTAAGTTGACGAGGGGCGACCAAACTCCTTTGTAATCATCATTGTAGAGCATAAGTGATAGAAATAAAGCTTTAGGCAGCAATAAACACCAGCGGAAAACACGATTTACTGTATGTGCTAGGGCACTTTGATCGGACGAAGCTCGTATGCATTGTCAGTGTATAACTGTGCTAACTTTGATCGTACCTCGTTGGTTATTAGTTCTATCATTTTTGGCTCAATATTTTTCAGTCTTTCATCAACTTCTGGATCACCACTGGCAACTTTACCACTTTGATTCTTGCCACTGTGATTTGAATAACCAGCCATAGCATTTCCCCTGGAAAAAAAGAAAATTACGAAGAGTATATCATATTCATTTAAAAATATGAGAAGGCATTGACACAATCTCTTTTCGTGATCGTATTCCCAATAAGAAGTGTTCATCCTCATCGCCACGCGGCGCGCTAACATCAACCATTTTTTGGCGCTAATGTTTTTTACACTGGAGCGACGGACTTTGCCGAAAAGGCGGTTCCTCTCGTAGTCCTCTCTAAAAAATGTTGTGAATTGTTGGACTGTAATGAAAAGAACTAGTGTAAAAAGGACCACAGCAAGGTCAGGGCTGGACACTAACGGTAGCTAACTAGCCACAGACTAGTAGAAAATCAGTTTTGGCTTGTGGTTTTCCATTTCCATTGTGATAATCTAAGTTACAACAAACTTACTAACCTCTGTAATTCATCATCATCATCATCTCGATCTAACACCGGAGGGATGAACTGCCTGCTTGGACCTCGCCTGGAACAAAACACAGGGGTCAACATCTGCAGTTTATTGCGTGTAACATTCTCATAAAATCTTCTTCAAGTTTGATCAGATTACATTATAATTTGGATATATCAACAAAGTTGAAGTGGTAAATTGGCCACCGCAACGATTACAAAAGCTGACGTTTCGAGCGTTAGCCCTTCGTCGGAGCGAATAGAGGAATTGTGGGTTGTGTGTGCTTTTAAAGGCAGAGAATGGAGCTACGTTAGTTCTCTTGTAAAGTCCATGTTTAAGAAAGTAGTTTTCACTTGATCACTGGGCATTGTCACCCTGCTCTAGGTCCACATGACCTAAGCACTCATCATGTTTGGTGAATATGTTTGGTGAATTTGTTTGTTTGTTTTATTCTTGTCATTTTATCATTGTGACATGACAAAGTTACACTCTAAAGGAATCAGCGTTATGATCACTGAGTTGTTCCTTACACGCATTAGCCCTTATCAACTCCCAAGATGTTAATTCCTTCAAATTATGTACCAGAATTTGGTGTTATATCAAGATAACCTGACTCAAAGCTGTCTTTCTTCGACACATTTTACTAAATAAAAGAACTCCATTGTACCAAACCTGCCGAAAAGTTTGATCAATCATTTCCTACTTGCTATTTATTTAAGATCACAAACCTAGTTCCCAGTGTTTTCCTCGTGCTTCCATACATTGAATTGTTTATGCTCCCCTGCCTCACAGACCCATCATGTTGGGAGTTCTTTTTCGAATCCAGAATCTGTAAAGAACAAGATCGTTATTTTTGTCGTTTTTTTATACTAAAATTTGTAGCAATGCAATCTCGTTATGAACCAGTGTAACAACAGACATCAGAGAGCCAAGACCTTAAAGTTAAAGAACAAGATCGTTATTTTTGTCGTTTTTTACACTAAAATTTGTAGCAATGCAATCTCGTTATGAGCCAGTGTAACAACAGACATCAGAGAGCCACGACCTTACAGTTAAAAGAAGTTTTCCCAATAATCAAAGTACAATAAAACTATTTTGTTTATTTGTTTCTGATACAAGGGATAATAAATCTTCCACGCCAGTTAAGAGCTCATCATGATTTCATCAGCATTAACCTTTGCACCAAAACATTAGTATTAATCTGCTCCACACTGTTTACGTTATATTTAAAACGGGTGTGGCAAGGAAAATTTGTTTGATAATCTGGAGATCATTTCCTTAATTCTCATGACCTTTATAGATGAAATACATGATTAAAGGGTGATACTGCTGGAGAAATTAAAAACCAGACACTCTTAGGGGATAAAGTTTTAAGGAACTAGGCGTACATGTATTACTCCTTTCCCTGATTGAGCTGGATGTTAGTCTATCACAGGATTAACCATCCCATAACACATTTGGTCAGGCTAAAGGGGGAAAGAGGCTCTTACTGGATAACTTTATTTAATATATAGATTTAGGCAAGCCTAAAAGCGGAGCTCCCAAGTTCGTAATATTAATGATAACATAAAAGATGTGCATATGCCAAGACTCGCCTGAGACACCCCTACCTTCGTTTGGATAGTCTCCCCTACCCTAAGCGTGCAATCTGAAGGCACGTACGTATATACGTACGTACGCTCGGTCAGTCACGTGACAACCAAACGAAAAGAGGTTGACAATATTCCATGGGTATGGGGCTCTGCCCTATGCGCGCATGGGAGCCCCGCTATTTTATCCAATTGTGCTTCGTATATCACGTGATATTTGTACTCCAGAAATATCTGCAAAATTCCCCCGCACTGAAATAACAATTTGGCGTGTTGGATAATAAATCTCTTTTTAGAAGTTTTGTTGTGTAGTACCACTAAGTATTTTTACTCGTTGTTTGTATTTTGACTTGCCCTACAGGCTCGTCAAAATACGTCACAACTCATAAACATACTCAGCGATACTACACATCAAAACTTCTAATAAGATCTATTTATCAACTGAGTTGATAATGCAAATTAGCCACCCTAGAGAGTTTTACAAGCTGACATTTTTTAGTGTTAGCCCCTTGACAGAGCTGTAGGTTACCAGGTGTCCGTTACACGGTCTCTCTTCAGAGGGAGTCAAATGTACAGAGCTAGAATGTAAGCCACGAGATCAAGTGCATCAAAAACAATTGCTTTTGCAAGATTCTCACCAAGAATTTAGCAAGAAAAACATTGCCCGTTGAAGTTTGCCAGAGAATTCTGCATGGTTACCAGAGAATTCTCCAATAAATCCTGTCCCAATAGCACACCCTATTTAGATTGTTCTGAAAGCAACATTACCATAACACAATATATGAATCATTAACCAGGAACTTATAATGGTTGTACATCAAAGAATCAATGGTGTAAAAAAACATTTGTCCCTTTAACTCATCTAGGACAAGAATTGAAACAAAAATTTTGTTTTGATATTTTGCTCTGTCCAAACTACTGAGTTGTAATGAATGGTTTAACTTACCAATTTTTGCTTTGCAGTGATGAAATAGGAAGATGCTTTGCTTTCTTGCTCACTATCGTCAGAATTGTGCTGGTTTTCTGAGGTATTTCTGGTATATTTTTTGTCAGAACCCTAAAGAGGAAAATAAGAACCTTAATGAAAAGTAATCAGTAAAGAATTATTCATAATAGATGCCACGATTCCATCACCTTGAAATACTTATAAACATAATCAGCGTACAGACAACAACATCATCTACAGCAATGTGGTACAGGATGAAGCAAAAACTGGGTATTACCTCAATTACTGCACTAAAGGCTGGGCCCCAGTCATTCAACGAATGAATAACAACACTATATGCTGCATAAATCTCTAGCCTGTTGATAGTGCAGTACATTTTGATAACACCCTACATGAATCAGATAGCAATTTTTCTTTTGAAAAGTTATTGAGCCATTGAATGCTGTTATCCATTCTTTGAACAACTGGGCCCACATATATAACCTCTCTAAGCCTGAGGGGAAAAGCTGTTTATGAGATGTACAATTATGTTCAAGATAACAGACGTGGAAATAACTATTACTAGCTTTTCAAATGGTTATTGGCACATACTTGATAAAAATTAAAATTGCTGGTATGAGAAGTAGGGTGACTGTTATTTCTCAAAGATGTTGCTGATTCTCTTGTGCTGGATGTTCCATCTGGGTACAACCTTTGCCCTGGATTTTGGTGACCATGAACTTGATATATCCCATCTCCACCTAAATTGAAAAAAGAAAAAATGGATTTTAAGAGCAGTTTTCACTGAGTGTTGAAACAAATCTGAAAGCCCTCTGACTGACCTTTATTTACTTAAATCTCGTGAAGATTAGTTACACAGAAACGTTAACCAAACCCAATCAAGACATTTAATTTTGGGGGGTTTTATCAACTGAGTTGATAATGTAAAAGGAGTTTAAAAGCTGAGATCTTTAGCATTAGCCCTTTGTCAGAGCCTTAGTCCTTTCCCTCTGACAAAGGGCTAATGCTGGAAACATCAGCTTTTTAACTCGTAACCGTGGCCAATTTACTTATTAACTCAGTTGACCAAACCCCAATTGTTACTCCCACTGATGCAGCACCACAGTTTCTTTAGAAACTTACCCCCTTTATTCACCAATCAAGATATGCCCAGGTTCAAAGTTTTAATATTCAAAGTTGTCACTGGGAACAAAAACATGCTTTCATTTCTTGACTTAATAAACAATAAATCACATAAAGTACAACTTGAAAAGAATGTAATGCATATAAGGTTTGTCTTTATCAAAACTTAAAATCAGTTTTAACAAACTTAGAAGCTATATGACTAATCCAAACTTGGAGTTGTTGCCTTCCTTTTCATTCCACACTGCCCTGTTGAACTAAGTGGCAACCGAATTGATTTTTCTGTCCTCGTTTCCTGAAAGATACTCCAGTGAATCAGTGACTTACTCAGCCTGCACTGTTACCTAGGTTTTTCCTCTTTCCAGATTTTTTTTAAGATGATTGAAGAAAACTGCATTTACAGGATATCACTGAGAAATGAATTTTAAAGATCAGCATAATACACAAATTTGAATAAGGTTTTCATGAAGAAAATGAGTGAGAACTGTCCGAAGATGTTACACTGTCTTAGAAAACAAATAAAAATGTAAATGTAAATTATAACTGGGTACATAAAACTGCCCTGTAGATCACGAGAAATACAGATTTCATATCTTGCTTACTGCAAACACCTTTCTGGAAGTATCTTCACCAGTTAACATAACTCCTTGGCTTTCCGTCCATTTATTTGTTAACAAAAACCCTTCACTTGACAAATCTTGTCCATCGGTGTTTATCCTGTTTTCTTGCAGGTTCTTACTAAGACGTTGTGCACCCTCTGAAGAGTGATTTACAGTAATCTTGTGCAACTGATCATCATGTGAGGGTGAATCAGTAAAAGGAACACCCGATGCCTGCACAGGCTCCTCTTCCTGCAGTTCTCTTTTGTTGTTCTGTTGATGAATTATTCCTTAAGTTATTAATTAATTAAGGTACATTTAAACAATAATACAATTGCATCTGAGAGGTTAATCTGTTCAAAAATAATTTTTATCATCTAAACTCCCACGTTTTTAAATTGTGAATTTACCATCCAAAATATAATTCAAATGATATTCTTATGGCCACACAGACCCCATAACTTGTTTTTGCATAGTCTTATTTGACACCAGCCCAGTCTGGCTTCATGCATGGCCATCAACAGGCTTACAGGAGGTGCAGTAAATTTACCACTTTATTGTTTTGTTCATGGGTCCCATGAAAGGTTTTCATTTTTGGATAGCCATTCTCTATAGATCTTTTGTCACAAACAATAATTATCACTGAACCCTTCTGGATATTGAATGAAATAAATGTTGAATAGATAGCAATCAGAGCTATCCCCCTCACCCCAGTGTTAACTCTCTCTCCTGTAGATGAATTTAGAAAGGAAATCCCTGCACATAGATTTTGTTGCATCTGAATTTTCAAAAAGGATAAATGATTGGACTTAAGTGTTGTTCCCTTCAATTTCCTCTTTGTAAGAAGAACAGGTTGTTAGGTGCTTTAAGCAATGGGCACAGCATTTCACTGACCATTGACCTAGCCTGTGACTGACCTTGGCTAATCCTTTAGGATATGGGCAAAGTCTCAAAACGAAAAATAAGGTATTTCAGTATAGTCACTAAAAAACAAAGAGATACAGTTAAAATAAGCTATTCAGCATACCTACCATGAGAGAATTATAAATGGGCAGCTTTTTCAAACTTTCCAGGGACAAACCTGAGGTCCATTCCTGACTCTCTACAAAGAACAATTGATCATTGTATCATTACAGATGGCAGAAAAGCAAGATGCACATGCTTTAGAAATCTAGGATGCCCAGATGAGAAAAATTTGTGCATGAGAGTAAAATCTTCTCATTACTCAAGGACAGGTCTGAATTAGCTGACAAGGCATGGCTAGGACAGGTCAGAGTTATCTAAACTTCATCTTCAAAGTAGTTGCAGCACTAAATGGAAAATTTGGGTACTGGCATTAGTTAGTTAATTTGAGTTTGCTGTTAGATACACTTAAATTATACCATTTAAAAGAGACTGTCCACTATCATTTTAACCCAGTGTAGTAATAACTTTTAACCTTACCATTAAGATGGCCAGATGCAAGGGCTAACACGGATTCAGCAAAATTGTTCAAGCCTAGGAAAGGAAGGTGTCTATCAAAATACCATTTTAAAATTGGGAAAATCAACATTGAAGTAAAGCATCTATCTCATGAACTTGAAGCAACAAAGGAATTCATGGATTGATTAGAAAAGTCTTGACTGTAATACACAAACTCATTATTGGTATTCTCCGGGTACTCCTAATTCACTACCTACATAAAATATTCATTCCAAATTCTAATTCTACCCTTAAGCATCAAATAAGGAGCCATTGTTTGGTTGTCCAATTGTTAAATTCATTTTATCAACTATTATCATGGTTATCATAAATTATTTTGAGCTTTGACAATGATTTTAATTACACTTCACTATCTCAAGTTTTTCTGTTAGCATACACATATTAAGTTCATTGGTAAAGCAAAGAGTAAAGTTTCCCCCTGAATATCTTAAAGCTCAGTGCCAATTTAACTCAAAGAAGATGAAGACAAATCCAGTACTCAGGCTTTCAATTAACTAACAGAAAGAAATGGCTGAGTAGTTAGGTACAGATTTGGAATTGTTAGGTACAAGGTTTAAATTCCATTCTGTACAACTCAATTGGACATGGTAAGTTGAAATGAGTTCAAAGTGTGCTGTGCTGTGCTTTGTAAATAAATAAACAGCTTGCTCCCTTCACATTGGGTTTTTGAGAGTTTACATTACAGTTGCCCTATATGTTTAAGTATTTAGAAAGCTCCAGTTGGCACAGTTACAAAAAAAATTATTACAATATATCTTAGCACCTTTGTCAGGGTTTTGATTGTCTACAATTTGAGAATAGTTTCCTGTAAACTTCTCTAACATCCTTGTATAAAGTTGGCTTGATAACCTTTTACTGCAAATAAAACAAGACCTGTCAACAATTTCTGTCAGAAAAAATACAAGATCAGAGACTTACATCAAAACTTAGCCAAGAGAAGGGTAAGCGAAAAGGTTTAAAAAAAAAATTCAGTAGATTTAGCTTTGAGAAACTCCTGTCTTAAGAAATGAAATAGATTTGAAATACGCCAAAGGTCACGGATCCACAGAATATTTTATCTCAAATTGTATATCCTGACTCTTTGGAAGTTCAAACTGTGGATTGGTATCCTGTTAGTCTTGGTCACACCAATACCAGTACTGCAGGACAAGAAGCTAGGAGTTAGGTTCACTTTTACACAACAGAAAGATTTAAGTTTGGTATTATTGAAAGTATTAGCCAACCTCCTCCGCAAGGTTTGAAGTTGAACCAACAATCTTCGCCAGGCGTCCGCTCTGGAGGAAGCATCATTTGATGAATCTGTATTGAAATGTATTCTCTGCCACAAGTTTAGGGCACGAGAATCGTCGTATGAATAGTTCATCGTCAAGGTAACAAGCACATTACAAGCAAAGAAGGAAGCAAAGAGAACAAAATGCCCAAACCGTCCGTGTTTCAAATGTCCTCCTTGATTTTGCTTCGCTAACGAAAATCGCGCGAAAACTGGGGTTGAAACATTCGAATGGCGCGAAAAGAAAAATAGGTCCGCAATCGTCTACACTACCACAACCAATTCGCAATTCAAAACGTCGGAAAAATATTTTTAATTTTGGTCTATTTTTCTTATGTAGCGATTAAAACCTAAAGTAATTTACCACGGTAAAAGAAGCTACGAGGTCTTAACACCTCGGGTAGCAACAAATCATATGAAAATAATTCTGAATTCGTCAAACAACAAGACAGTACGAAGGAAGCGCGAGCTCAAGTCCTCTTTATTACGCAATAAAGTCATACAACTGTTCTCCGTCGCCCTTTTTTTCCGATTTTAACGTCGTAATTTCAATGAACGTTTCTTAAGTTACCTCAAAATGAACTGGATTTCGAAGAAATTTAGAGCAGGTGTTCAAGAGGTTAAAGAGCGAACAAGCAGAGACAGTAAGTGATTCCAAGGGCATTGTCAGATTTTTGACTTGCTACTAACTATGGTCTGCACTCTAAGAAAGTTTATTTTTTGTTTCACAGTTTGGAAGAGTCATGTTATAAAAATTAAATGGGCGTGCAGTTCTGTAGGCTGGCTACGCCTTTGCATTATGATTTGTGAAAAGATAGTTATTTTAGTGCTTTTAGTTTATTATAACAATACTTGCGCATTGAATATTATAAAAAAAAAATAAAAAAAAAAAATTACTGATACAAGACCGTCGGTGGAGAACCATATGCATTAACTATGAAAGAAAACTGAATGATTACAAATTCATGTTATACCAAGAGATCATGATCTCTTGATTATACCTAAATAATCATGCTTTACAAGATTATGTACTATAATTTAAATGTGTATAGCTTAGTTTTTCTTTGAGATCAGGTACTAATTCATTCATTCCACATAAATTTAATCAAATAATATGCTTCGTGCTTTTTTTGTAGTCACTCAGGTGGAAGATGTAGGAACCCTAGTTAATGAAAACTTATTCGAAAGAGACATTCTGCTGGCCATGAAAATGCTTGCTTCTTCATCCAACATTTCCGAAAGAAAACAAGGTAAAAAATCAACTTCTTTTCTTCAAGTTGCACTGTGACTTTTGAGTGCACAACAATGTATACCGTAGGTTTCTGGTACGTTTGTTTGTATGCACATCTTGGACTAGGTACAGTAGCATATTTGGGAGGAAGAGATCAACAGTTTTCTTTTCTTTTCTTTTTTTTTTATTTTATTTTATTTTATTTTTTGTTGTTGATATTTTTATACTTTACTCGGCATATTAGCATGTATTGCTAGGGGCCTAATCAGCCTCAACAACCCGAGTTGAAATAAAGTTACCTACCTACCTACCTATAGTTGACTATGGCAGATATCAAGGGTGGGGAGGAGGGCTCGAGGGATATGGTGGAAGAATTGCAGTAACGCACGTTTCTCTACTGGAGATTTTTTGGTGTAAAAGAGTAACATCATTTTGACGCAAGAAAGTCGGGCGTTTAAGACACACTGACTTGGTTTCTAATGAAAATTTATCAGTTTAGAAGGTTTTGCATGCGATTTTCGGTTTTGATCGAATTGTTTTGCGCAGTTTTGTGGTTTTGGATGACTTTTTCTACGGTTTTGCGGTTTCTAATAGACCCGAATGCCCGGCCCCATCAGTTAGTTTCAACTTCATTAAGAGCGCCATAAAAATTATACATATCGATCAGAATTGCCATCTGAGGGAAGGATAACCATCAATGCGGTAGGATCATGGGATTACAGTATCACAAAATATTGCTTTACTCTTTTTGAGCAGACGTACACACAACACACAATTCAGGTTACCAGGGGTTATCGAGGGTACCCTGACTTTCACGATACGATTTAGTTACAATTACACGGTAGGATCTGGGAACGAAATTACACAAAGGGTCTTTCGCCGTCCGTTCAAGATGCCCCCAGACTCCCCGAGGGAAAGGGGCTCAGCAACCCCATTTCCTGCAGTATTACACCATCGCCAGCCACTCATCATGGAAACCCTTGGTGAAGCCAGCGTAAGTGTGATCTAACTTCTTTGTTTTATTTGCAGCCATTAAAGACCTTGGACATCTGTCTTGGTCAGGTACGTACTGCTATGGTGTAAACGACTTTCATTTGACCTGAAAATTCTGCAGGGTTTCCAGTTTCAGTAAAAAGGAACAAAACAGAAAAAAAAGGAATAAAAAGGCAATGAAGATCGCTTAAAAAATTTGCAACCTCTGGTCAAATCAGAAAATCTGTATGCGAATCACTGAAGTCAGTGTAAACCTGTATTTTTTTCGCATTTAAAATCACTCAAATATCCATCTACGAATCAGTAAGGGACGGACCATTATTTTTCTGGAGGGGGGTATGAGAAATTTTCTTCAGCAAAAATTTTTTTTAACATATACTTCTCCACAAACATTTTTTTGGTGTTCTTTTTATTTGTGCTAAATAACATCATTATCCTATTAAACTATTTTACGAGAACGTAATCAATAGTGCTATGGCCACTTATTTTGTCGATATACTCTCCACTCACATTTTAAAATTTTTTGGCAGTTACCAACGCAAACGAAGGGCATACGACACAATAAATTCCTATTTTTTCAAGAAATGTTCAGCTATTTTCAGATTTTTTATTTGCTTAATACAGAGTGACCACTTTTTGAAAAGTGCCCGAATTGTGTTAATTTTGATACTTACGCTTCAATTTGGTCGGCTTTATTTTCCTGTTGCGTTAAAATCTACTTGATCCTCCCAGAGGTCTCTGAAATATCCTTGTGATCCTCTCCCCTCGTTGACAATTAATTGGCAGTCAATTTTCTACAGTCCTCCCTTTATACTCTATTGGCGACGACTGATCCCCTCCTCGTTCCCCTGAGAACCATGTTATCTTCCTCAAAATCCTCCGCCACGCCCCTCCGCCCACTCGAACTGAAAATTGCATAAGTTAGTTAGTACCCTGCAGAAATTTCACACATATCAGTTAACATAATTCGGTCACCTTTGCTCAGTTGTAGCAGAATACAGACCAAATATGAAATGAAGAAAGATAAACCAATTCCCTTCGTTTTCTCGCTTTTGTGTTTCATTAGCGCTCACAAATTGTTCAATATCTGTTCCTCAGGAGGTCCGTCGGTGGCTAAGTTTGCTGGTAACCAGTTCGTCAATTTACTCAGTCTGTTAAATGATCCAAATGAAGCAACTGCCCTGAAAATGGTATGAAATTTAGCTTTAATCATCAATGATGTGTGCAATGTTCATCTTAATTAAGTGCCCGGGGAATTTTGAATTGATGATTATCTCATCAAATATCGGCGATACACACGCTGAATTAGTGGAACTAATTTTTTCCTCTTCACGATATCAGTTTGCTCACGGATAACTCGCGATCACTTCTTGCACCAGTAAGGTTCCTTCTTATAATCATTGATTCTAAAAAGTTTCATGGCGCAAAAGTCAAAGGAAAACAAAGCCAAAACAAATAAATATTTCTATAATTCACATCACTCTACTCGGGACAAACGAGATTTTCGTTTACTTTCGACGCACTAAACTACTATCGTGATCTATGAAAATATTGTCAGCGAGAACCTCGTCAGCCGACGCAATTTATTAAACGCAATTGTCAATTCACCTTTTAGCTCACAGTTCATGCAATTGGTGAAATATGTTGTGCAAACAGAGAAAATCAGGATAAAGCAAGGTATGTTATTTACATAAAGGTCTAAAAAAAACTGACTGACTTAAATTCGATCGCTCTTTGAATCAATGGATCTAGTCGTCAATACTGTGCTACTGACGAATTTTGAGTCAAAATTCTGGTTTTCTTATTAGCTTAGCCTTTCTGTCTATCTTTGTGGCTCGAGTTGCGAGGAACTTTAGACTGTAATTATTTTGCTGAGAAGAATTAAATTGAGGTAAAAAAAGTCACATCGTAGATAGAGCTAAAGAAAGTTAACAAGCCGGCATCACATAAGAGGATTATCCATACGTAAGCTTAGGGAACAATTTAAACAAGAATCTTTTTATAGAGTATATCTGAACCAGTGCTATGATGACCTTCTGATTTCAGAATGTATGGTCTTCTTGAGAAACTTACAGAGTTTCTAAGCACAACTGACAATGAGCCGGACTACACTGCTCTGGTAAAACACAACTCTGTATGTACAATTTCAATTGGATGCTGAAATTAATCTGTGAATATTACGTTAGTTTTGTCTTAACGGCACCATGTAATACCATGTGATTGCTGAGGAAATCTCGTCTCTTGATCTTGGCCGATGAGATTTGTCAAGTTCCATTCAGTGAATTGGTCTTACGCGTTTTACCCCGCTGAAAGTTTTTCACATCTACATTTCGTCTCCATTTCCTAACAAACTAACTCCTAGGCACGAATACAAATAATCCTGTTTAGAATCAAACCACAACTTGCTGTAACTGTCTCTTTGTGATATTAAGCTAGCCTCGTTCTATAGCTGATTGTTTTTTTTTTTATAGTTACTTGGCACTAAAGATACTCGATCACTCAATTAGGCAACGATATGAACTGTGCTTCGAGTAAGCTTTTTATTTCGAGTAACTAGAACAAATCCTAGGAGTACTAGGTGAACTTCTCGGATAGAGTCTTTCAGCTTAAGATGATTGTCTCTCTTGCAAAGAGGGCGTATATTAAGGGCGAGACTCCAGAGTGCATTGGATAGGACCCAGCCCTCTCTGTGCTGATCATAAAAGAACCAGCATGTCCCCAAAGGCCTGTATATGCCATTGCAAGACTCAATTTTTAGAAAACCTTTTTAATTTACTACTACCTTACTTGCAGATGCTGGTCTAGGTGTTTCCATCTTCGATGAAAATAAATATGTATTATTTGGAGCTCAACCAAACCACAACATGAACCCCGTGCACGCTTTCCAAAACTCAAGGGGCCTTAGCGCTTATATATTACAACTAACCTACCTTTTATTTTCTAGAGACGTTCTACAGCTGCCTGCCTGCTGACGCTTGTGTGTGAAAATCAGGAGAATCAAAAGGCTCTCCTTCGCACAGACAAGCTGCAGGTACCCAGTCTAGTCAAGGTCTAATCGTGAATATATTCCTCTTTCTTACGATGCAATAATTTTATTTCATAATTTACTGAAAGACACTAACAGTTGATGTGTCATACGTTGAAGTTGTTCTCGATGTTTTTTAATGCCATGCTATAATGAATACGAGAGTCGTAACGATGCGAAAGCTGACTCTTGCCCAATTTTCATAAAGAGGGCATCCGACGCAGTCAGCACGCGGAAAGAAAATGAAGCAGCACGGCTGAAAATTAAAATCACGTGATTAAAATCACGCGCGAGATGCCTTGTATCCTGCATTGCCAATATTGTGAAATTCTCAGAAATTTTCATGCGAACTCTTTTTGCTACTTACCAAATCTCGTGCGGGTTATGAAGACGACTATGGACGATTGTCACGAGAAAGTTCGTCAACCGAACCGGGTTCCTCATTTCATATGTGGTCCAATAAGACTCCTCTGTGTCATGTTGTACAGGAACATTTGACCTCTATCTCAATGGAAAACTGGACAGCATGGGAAGAAAATGAAGCAGCACAACTGATTACATTTCTTGGACTTGACTACAGGGGTAAGCGAACAGTTATTTTCCCGAAATTTATTTCCTAAAATGAACGCATCGCCGTAAACCGTCCATTAGTTTCGCCAGTAACCAATTATTTAGTAATGAGCACCAGTTGACCCTCGTTAAAACAACACTTCAAATAGGCAACTTCAAATATGAGCAACCAAGTGTGTCTGGTTGGCGTTTTAGCAGTAGCGGATCCAGGGGGTCCGGACCCCCCCTAACAGACCTGACGCTTACAACTTTGAAATTGAAATTCTTACATCGAAAGGATCGTATATCACTTTTTAACTAGCTGATCATGATCTTTTTAATTAATCCAAGTGAACGCTAAGCGACCAAGGAATTATAACGTGCAACCACAACTGGTGGTGTGGGGAAGAAGTTATTTGCCTCAAAAGAGTCCAACAGTCCTTTCTGAACCAAAGTTTGAACCCCCCCCCCCAAAAATTATTGGATCCGCCCCTGTTTTAGTATGTTTTTAGTATGTACAATAATCTGGGGCTCATTATTTTTCCTCAGTTGTAACATTTGGAGCACTCGTTCCAATCCAAGCACAGTTTTTCATATGGGATTATCATCCTGATTTTTTTAGTTTTCCTACTACTGGATAAACCCTGAACCTTCAGCAATATTTCTGACGACGAACAAATATTGGATTTTGTACTCAAGTAAATCTGGGGCAACAGGATTGCGCAGTTCTGAACGCAGTGGCCTGGGTTCGATTCTCGGGCCCCTGACGGGGTTGAACTTATTGTTTCCCCTCCTTCCCACAAGTTTTCCGACTTTTATTCCCACATAACAACAAACTTACTAAAGTCCAATTGAACCTGACAAAAGTGGATCAAGAACCATCCCGTGGGATGTCCACTGCTAACCTGATCCAATTAATTCATTCAGTTTTTAAAAACGTGGATGTTGGCATTTACAAGCTTATGTCGATTCTTGCATAGCTGATCAAAAGATCACGTCCTGAATTTTTTACTGGAGGATCTCGATCAAGTTCGTTCGATTGGTAATTTGCGATAGCACAAAATGAAATCGCAAACGCGACATTGAACCTCAGAGTTGCAATGTTATGGAAAGGTGCACTGACCAGTACTTTTTTCAACATACTGTTACGGCTAAGAGAATGGTTGCTTATATGGAAGAGGGGCCCCTATTAAGTAAGCACAGCAGTAGAAAGATAACTGGAAGTGACGTCAGGGAAAATAAATGATTTCCCTGTACTGACTCCGTTTCAGTTGAAGCTTGACACCTACGAGTAGTGGCAAAACAAAGAGTATTATCTTGTATCCCTACTATTCATGTGAGAAAGGAGGGCTCGTTGTTGACATTTTGGCCCAGGGGGTGGGCGCTTACTCGTAGAAATTAAGGTAATCTTCAATTCTTTTTTTTTTTCCCTATTCGCCAGAAGATTCACGTTCTCGATGGGCGAAGATGAGGGCATTGATTACTACTGCACAAAGAGAAACATGAAGAAAAAATTCTGTATTGGGGTCTGACAATTCTTCGTTGAATAAAAAAATTTGTACTGGCAACAATTGCCTATGAACAAACTAAGTTTAATATACCTTGAGGATATTTATATGGCATGACATACACGTTTTGTTCCATTTGAAGTGGAATATGTTCTGGGTCGTTGCCCGATTTCTGCAGGCAACTCGCACTACAAAAGCGCATTTTTCATCTCCGCGTTGAAACAGATTTAGCCAAAAATCATAAAATATGTTATACATGTGAAATAAAAGCGTATAGTTACATACCTGATAAATGACAAACCGACAAATTAAACAAATTTGATTTCCGTAAAGTAACGCGACTTGATGGTTCTGATAAAATTGCATCCATCATTAGGGCAACGGCTCGTTAAAACAGATCTGTAGATCCTATTTCAATTCTCGTTAGCAGAACTGCAGCAGATAAGAGCGCAATTTCTTTACAAGAACCTCTCGTTAAAACCCTGTTAATTGAAAAGTCAAATACCGTAAAACGTATAAAAAAAAAGAAATTGATAGAACTTAAATTTGGAACTAGCTTTTTCTTTGAAATTTTTAAGAAAGAATGTTTGCAATCCAGTATTTACAACGGATTAATGTACGATCAAAGTTTTTCTCGGCTTTGTCCATGCAACTTGTTTGCGGATGGATGTGAATATAATCATGCGTGCAAAAAAAAAAAAAACTTTAGGACTGATTTAATCAGTCTTTTTCAGCAAAGTGGTGCCAGGAACATAAACAGTATCATGGAATACTATTGTCAACCACTACTTTCGAGAGCGCAGCGACCTGGTTTGTGGTGGCTTAACATCTTGCAGTCGTGTACTTGAGCGGGTCCTTTTGGCCTCTGGAGCGGCCGGTACAGCAACCTCCTCTTCCCGAAATTGCCTCTTCTTCCCTCGAGTTGAACGTACGGGTTGCTGCGGTTCAACTGCTGCTTTAATTTTGGCCGGGTTTGCACTTCTTGTTGACCGTGTTGTTCTAGGCTCTTCTGGTGCTTTTCCTTTAGGCTCCCGCTTACCCCCAGCTTTATTCATGGAACTCTCTGATTGAAAAATTTCAACCTCCTGAAGTGAGGCAACGCTGCCGTTGGAAACGATTTTCTCAACGGGATTTCCTCGCGTACGTCTCGTGGATCTCTGTTTCAAGGAAGCCTCTTCCGATTTTGTGTCTTCATCTGTTTTAACGACGCTCTCTTTGTTACTTCGCTTTGCTCGACTGTTTTGGGGCAGCTTGTCTTCATCAACAGGTTTATTTTTGCCGACTGCCTTTCTTGACCGAGTACTCCTTACGTTTGTTGCTTCTGCGTCTTTTTCTTGGACTTTTTCACTTCCAGTACCCTTCTCCTCAGACGCAACTGAGGCAGATTCTTCGGTAGTCCTGGCTTTTCGTCGAGAGCGCGTGGTTGTGGAATTGTCAATAGTTTCGTCGGCAGCTTCACTATTCACAGCTTTATCTTCAACCCCTGCAACTTCAGCTCTTCGGTTGCGGCCGCATCTTGTCGTCCTTGGCCCCGCAACATGTTGAGAACCACGCGTTGCTCTCGCTTTACTACCACTCTTACGGGTCTCTTCCTCAGCTTTCTGTACATCACTACTGCTGCCGCAGTTTTCTTCCACTTTTGCTTTTAGCCTTCTCTTAGTACCTTCACGCTTTTCTGCGACTTCATCTCCACCGCACTCTTCTGAGGAGGAATCTGTTCTGGCTTTAGCACGGATCCCACGACGAGAAGATCGTGAAGGCTCCTTTTGCTGCGCTTTGAACTCTGTTGTTTCCTCCGCTCTTCCCCGGGTAGGGGCTTTCTCTACTGCTCCTGGCCCAAGCAACGTAAGGGAGGCAGCGACCACGACCGTCTGATGAATCGAAGGCAAAGGAGAGAGAACTTCAATAATTGGATCTAATTGCGTGCGCTTAAATGCCATTGGTTTCGGCGTGTTCGGTAGGCTTGCTGCTGAACTCTTTTTACTTCTTGTGGTGATCTTTCTTTGCACAACTTTCGGATTGGATCGAGTTTCTGTTTTGCCTTCGCTGCCTTGTTTTGCAGCTGCACGAGTAGAGCGCCCTCTTTTAGGCACTGGTTCAGGCAGTTTCTCGGTTGCCTTACGCTTGGCTCGAGTCACTTTTGGTACAGTTTCGGAGCTAACGTCCTCTGATGCTTCAGCTGTCTTTTCCTGGAATTCTGAAGAAATGAAGTTGATAGTCCGGACATCGTGCTCCTTATCACACCCACCTTGACCAACGGTTGGAGTCGTGTCTCGGGAGGAATCCTCAACAGGAGGCAAAAATAAATCTGATACGAAGTGTTCCTCGGGTTCCACAGCTCTTTCAGAACTTTTAGGTGTCTGCATCAGCGTCCTAAGCCCAACAAAGTTCGGACTGACCACGGCTTTCTCGGTTCTCATCATCTGCTTGATACCGACAAACTTTGGGCTCTCTACAATGGCTTCTTCGCCAATATCACCTGGTGTTCTCAACAGCCTGGCAACTCCTTGTAACCCCTCGCTTTTACGCGAGTAACGTTTGGGTTGCAGCTTAGGAGAAGCAAAAACGCCGGGAGCAAAGAAATCTTCGACATTCTCTACGGCATTGTTATCTTTTGGCACCTTCATCAGTCGAGCGAGGCCTTGCAAACCTAAACTCTTTCGGTCAGTGGCACTGGGTTTCTTAACTTTTTTGGCTGAAACTGTCTTCACTTGAGCTGATGAACGCATAGATGGGGTTTTGGTTGGAACTTTTGGCTGTACAACGTCCATTTTAATGTCTGGAGACTCGCTGGAGAAAATAGACGTTTGCCGCTTGGCAGAACGAAGAGATGGCGTACGAGAGGGTTGCAGCGGAGTCACAACTTGCACTGTAACAGCATCGTTGGCTGAACTTCGCAATGATGGTGTCTTCCGTGTCATTATCGCTTCCTTCATTTCCAGCAATACCTCTGGAGTTACAGCACTCTTGACAGTTTGTGAATTACTGGATCTTAACGACGGGGTGCGAGAGCTGTTTATAGGGGTTACTATCTGAACAAACTCCGTATCTTCTCCAAAAGATCTCAAAGATGGCGTCTTTGATGGTTTCAAGGATTCTGTCAAGTTTAAGTCTCGCTCATCAGGACTTAAAGTGAGCTCGTCCTCTGTGGCGGTGTTTGGTGCGGCCACGGAGATGGATGGTGGTGTTGCAAACATTTCAGGCACTCCTTCGAAATCTTCGACAGGCATTCCACGTTTGCGTGGGGCTTTCGTTGCTTTGGCAAGACTCGACAACCAGCGGTTTCCTTTTTCTTGTTTGGATACATCCTTGTTGCTTAAGACAACCATCGGTGGGGTAGCGAACATTTCTGCCAGGCCCTCCAAGTCTTCTACGGGTATGGCACGTGCTTTTACGCCATTTGTGGCTCGTGCGAGGCTCGACATCCATGTACTGTTTGCAGCGTTCTCGTTGGTCACTGGGGAACTTTGCACACTGTCGATCATCACTTGAGGAGCGTCCTTGCTGTGAAGCCGGGTACTTCTCCGCTTCTGGATTGACCGAGGTTCGTTGACAGGTTTGCTGGGGACCTCTGTCGAAATACAACTCATGTAAGTTATAGAGTATCTGAAAGAGGGCGTCAGAAAAAGGATAGGGGTCGAACGCCAAAACATGACACCAAACTGAGTGAAGTCCTCTTGTTTGACTTGTTTAGCAAGCTTTTGCAAAGCGAATATAAATAATACAAGGTGAGTTAAAAGAGCTAGTTACATGAGGTTGAAATTTCTATAAAATGTATATCAATCACGACAGCGCACGGGAATTCTAAGCGAAAAAATACTCCAGTCAACAAATAGCTCTTGGTGAACTATTCAGTCTTATAAAAAGTTTCTTTTTAAAAGAGAAAAATCCAGTTGAAGAAAATAACGTCCCAAATTTCCACCTATATTTCAGGTTAGGTCCAGTAAAACGAAAATTTCATTACTATAATCAATAATTATTCCATGAGCTTTGGCTATGACTAGTCTCGTATCCAGCAACCGCGAATGGAACAATTGTTTTATTAGATTTCACACAATCCAGAACATTTGGATATTTGGAGCCTTTTATCAGCTCCGTAAAAGTTGGCCCAATGCATCTCCATAAGGTGACTCGGAATATTTAACAATTATTTCACGGGCGCGCGTTGGATATGAGATGATAGATAGCCAACGAGGCGCGTAGCGCCGAGTTGGCTATAAACATCACATATCCAACAAGCGCGAGTGGAATAGTTGTTTTCTTTAAAAAAAAAACAAAAAGGCTCCCTAAGATATTAGACAAATCTTCTCGACTTTATTTTGTAAGAAGAAACCGATATTACAATAATCTATGTAATAGATTATGGTATATTGGCTCATATACCACAATTGCTAGGCCAAAAAAAAGTATTGAATTGCATTTTCCAATGATCCAGTTTTTAATAAAAGCTAATAGTCGGAGTTGAAAATTTAATATACAATATACAATATTCGTATTCCCCGACGGTCCTGGAACGACTAGGTCCTGAGAATGAATGCGAGGCTAATGCGGGGAAAAGTTGAAGAGACTTTTAGTGTTTAAGAAGTGATTTCTTCGATTTCGCGAAAAATGCCGAAACATCATTGTTATGCCTACAACTGTACCAACAGCGAGGCTAAGAAAATAACGCAATCAAATAGCCCGAAGTTGCAAATGTTACTTTCCACTGTTGCCAACAAATGACGAAAACAAACAGTACGCTCCTGGGATAAGTGAACAGGAAAGACGTCGAAGGTGGATCGCAGCATGCCGGCTGGAAAGCCTAAATGTCACAAGGCATACTGGTATATGCTCTTAACACTTTGTAGGAGGGTTAGAGCCAAGAAAGGCAAACCCTGTTCCTACGATATTTGATTTCCTAAACATCTCCAACGAAAAGAAGTGAAACAACGCCAGGAACCGGAGACGAAACGTTTGAAGAATGCTTCCACGACAAACAGAATTCAGAAGGCAACTAAACCTAACCAATCGAAGGTTAGAAATCATCTGGATTAAACCATCTCATGTAACCAACCCGAGTTCGCATTCACAACATCACTTATGGACTCACAGTCGTCGGTCAATTCGAGAGCGAGTTCGTGGGCTTTTTCTGTCAGTTCGACTAATTCTTCCTTCTTTTAGCTGGAGACAGATATTCCTCGAGCCTGCAGGTATTTTTTAAGCTCTGGAACCTTCCAGTTTTTAAAATTTACTTCCATTTCTACCAAATCGGCCATAACTTTCTTGTACTTCGCAGCCAGTTTCCCCGGCATTAGCCTCGCATTCACGCGCAAGCGCTTACTCGTCCCAGGGCCGTCGGGGAACACGAATATTGTCTATTGTACACCCGATTTACCAGCATGAAATGTACATCAAGACGCGTCGCCAGCTTATACTAGTCTCCAGTTGAGGAAAAGGGCGAACTTACCGTGATCTGCTGCAACAGCATCAGCAATATTAGCGGGTGGAACAGCTTCAGCCTGCAAGTTCAAACAAAGTGTACTCGATGAGCTGCTATGTAGTGTTGAAAATAAGAACTTTGAATAATGTGGGATTCGTATCTACCAGTAAAACTTAATATTGACTGATTAAAAATACGCCATAACATAAACATACCTTGTTACACATTGGTGCTGTTTTTCCAAACTTGAATGACGTTCCCTTGGACGACCTCCTCACAGCAGTCATTTTAGCTCTTTTAACGATTTCTGCGTATGTGGGTTTTCGCGGTCTGATCTCGTCTCGAACAGATGACGATTTTCGACGAACAGCTCTGAGTGCCGGTTTGGAGTGGATCCCATTACGAAGTGGAGTGGCCATACGGTTACGGGTGGGTCGCAGTTTTCTCCCTGCAATTATGGCTTTCCTGAGCGGAGTCTTGAGGGCTCTTCTGCCCGGGGCTTCTTGGACCTCTTCACTTTCTTCAGTCACTTCTTCTGAAGGTGAGGTTTTCATTCTCTTTGCATCGTGGTCGTTTACTCCACCTTCACTTCTCTTTCTCTTCGCAGACTTTACTGTGGACTTCAGTGTGATTTTTCCTTCAAGCTGTTTTCTCACTGGAGTGGGCAGGCTCTTCTTAGTCTTTTGCAAAGGCAAACCCTTTTTGATCTGCTCCTTCAGTGGCGTCGTTAAGCTTTTCTTCGTTTTTCTTAAAGTTATTCCTTTACCAATATCTTTCTTAAGAGGAGTAGGCAAGCTCTTCTTGGTTGGCTTCAGTTTCCTTCCTTTGATGATCTCAATCTGAACTTCAAGTGGCATACTCTCCTTTGTTTTCCTGAGTTCAACACCTTGTTTGATATCGTCCTGAAGCAGCGCGTTCATAGTTTTCTTGGTCTGTCGGAGTTCTGGTTTGGCTTGAATGGCTTTTTGCAACGGTGTTGAAAGCTTATTCTTGGTTTTCTTCAAGGTGACGCCATCTTCTATTGCTTTTCTGACCGGTGTTTGTAGCTTCTTTTTTGTCTCTCTCAATTTCACGCCTTCCAAGATATCTGTCCTGAGAGGAGTTGCCATCTTCTTTTTAGTTTGTCGAAGGCTGGTCCCATTTTCAATTTCCTTCTTTAAGGGTGTGGCCATCTTCTTTTTGGTTTCTCGAAGGCTTGTCCCATTTTCGATTTCTTTCTTTAGGGGTGTGGCCATCTTCTTTTTGGTTTCTCGAAGGCTTGTCCCATTTTCGATTTCTTTCTTTAGGGGTGTCGCCATCTTCTTTTTGGTTTCTCGAAGGCTTGTCCCATTTTCAATTTCCTTCTTTAAGGGTGTCGCGATCTTCTTCTTTGTCTGTTGCAATTTGATTCCCTCTTTTATCTCTTTTTTCAACGGTGTTGCCATTTTCTTTTTGATTTGTCGAAGGGTGGTCCCATTTTCAATATCTTTCTTTAATGGTGTGGCCATGCTCTTCTTTGTCCCGTTTAATTGAACACCCTCTTCAATTTCTTTTCTTAAAGGTGTTTTCATCTTCTTTTTTGTTTGTCGGAGACTGACGCCATTTGCGATCTCATTTCTCATANTTTGTCTCTCTCAATTTCACGCCTTCCAAGATATCTGTCCTGAGAGGAGTTGCCATCTTCTTTTTAGTTTGTCGAAGGCTGGTCCCATTTTCAATTTCCTTCTTTAAGGGTGTGGCCATCTTCTTTTTGGTTTCTCGAAGGCTTGTCCCATTTTCGATTTCTTTCTTTAGGGGTGTGGCCATCTTCTTTTTGGTTTCTCGAAGGCTTGTCCCATTTTCGATTTCTTTCTTTAGGGGTGTGGCCATCTTCTTTTTGGTTTCTCGAAGGCTTGTCCCATTTTCGATTTCTTTCTTTAGGGGTGTGGCCATCTTCTTTTTGGTTTCTCGAAGGCTTGTCCCATTTTCGATTTCTTTCTTTAGGGGTGTGGCCATCTTCTTTTTGGTTTCTCGGAGGCTTGTCCCATTTTCGATTTCTTTCTTTAAGGGTGTCGCCATCTTCTTTTTGGTTTCTCGAAGACTTGTCCCATTTTCAATTTCCTTCTTTAAGGGTGTCGCGATCTTCTTCTTTGTCTGTTGCAATTTGATTCCCTCTTTTATCTCTTTTTTCAACGGTGTTGCCATTTTCTTTTTGATTTGTCGAAGGGTGGTCCCATTTTCAATATCTTTCTTTAATGGTGTGGCCATGCTCTTCTTTGTCTCGTTTAATTGAACACCCTCTTCGATTTCTTTTCTTAAAGGTGTTTTCATCTTCTTTTTTGTTTGTCGGAGACTGACGCCATTTGCGATCTCATTTCTCATAGGTGTAGCCATCTTCTTTGCCTTCTGTAGCTCAACTCCTTTCTGAAGTAGTGTGTTCTGCTTCGTCTCTTTTCCTTCTCTTCTTGTCTCTTCTCCCATTGAGTCTTCTTCATCCGAAGTGTAATCATCGCTATCCAAAATAGTTTCATCAATGTCTTCATCGTCATTAGTTGTAGAAGAGACCATCTCGGGCACTATAGATTGCTGTCTAGGGCTTTTCTGCGCTAGTCTCAGTGACAATCGTCTTGTGTCTTTACGTTCCTCTGTCACAAGATCAACTTCACCTGATGCAGTGAGTCTGCTGGTCCCAGTGAGCTCTAACTTTGTTTCTTCGAATAGAGAGGATGATCTTCTGCTTTTAGGTTTGGTACTTTTGGGGGTAGCGTGTTCCGACGACGGCTGACCACTTTCAGGTGTGTTCCCAACAAACCTTGGTTCTTTTTCCTGCACTGCAGCGGTTTCATTACCAAAAGACTCTGAGTTGTTGTTAACTTGCTCGTTATTAATCTGTTGTTCTTCTGACGACTTCGCGTTTGAGTCTACTTCCTCGTCAACGTCATCATTTTCTCTTATGCAGTCGGTTTTTGGTACAGACAGAACCGATCTCCTTCTCTTGGCAGAAGAAGCAGCAGCTCCTCTCCTTGGTGTAGAACCGCGTCTCACAGGAGTAGCTGGAGGTAGATCTTTGTCGAACTGTTCAGGACTGAGAACCGGTCCAAATGAGACCCATTTAGAATTTCTTCTGGTCTTCTCTTTTACTTCCTCGACAGACTTTACTACACTGACTTGTTCGGTACTTTCTTGGGGATAACTTTTGTCTTGAGGCTCAGCATTGACAAATATCGTGGACAATGGTGGCTTATTTGATGCTGGGGAAGTTAAATTCTCATCCTCCTCTTGCAAAGGCATGGAAAACCTACGAAGCCGGTGTATGTTTTCCTTGAGGCTTCCCCCAGTGGCGGGAGTTCGAGGGCTGCCTTTTAGTGCAACTGGCATTTTAGGAGTTTGGCTCTCTGGGGGAGTGTTTGCCAAGGGGACAGAGCGGCGGGTGTCAGTCTGCAATAGGAACATTTTTAAAGAGCTTATTACTTGAAGAGAAAAAAACTCAATTTCGTATTTAATATACATGAAAATATTTCTCAGTTCTGATTGGTTAAGATGAATGCAATTTTCAGTTAATTCAGTGTAGAAGAGGGTTAATTCAGTACAAAGAAAGAAACAAACCAGACATTCTGATTGGTCAGAATGATTTGTCAATGTTAATATCAAGGTCAATGTCACTTGCAGGGTTTGAATAAATTATTTTTGCACGTGATGCGCACGCTTTTCTTCTGCGTAGTTATGAGAAGCTACCTCCTATTTCTTGATGTATATGATTAATAGATAATCAAATGATTTTCTCATGCAATTTGGAATAAATAAGCACTTGTAAATTTTTTCAAAGACCACAAATTGTAACAATTTTGTTAGTCTTTGGAAAAATTTACTCGTGCTTATTACAAATTGCACTTGAAATCATGTGATTACCTATACTTACGTTGATGAAAAATGGTTGAGGGTGAATATGGAAAAGGAAACTGAGAACAAATACAACAACACCACAAAAAAAAAAAAAAAAATTAAAAAAAAAAATAGAAAAGGGAGAAAACAAACCATCATCAAATTATTAACCTGACGTTTTCTTAAATGTTTAACTCAAAGGACAATAGTTTGCTTTTCAAAGAAATATTAGAATGTCCTTCCCTGCCCTTTTATTCTAACTAGTAGAACGCAGTTTTAACAGAAAAATTGCACACACCTAAAAATGTTTATCGCCAATACCGGATTGATCACTTTTGTCAAACGATTCATATCTTAAATGCACTGAAGTGATTAATCTACAGTTTAATTCCCAACCACTTTTCAATGTATTGACAGAAATAAACTTTTTTTAAATTGGTATCTGTGTGGTACGCTAAAACAATTATTCAACTCAGTGTCAATGAAAATGGTCGACATTTACTGCATCGCTTTGCAGCTGGATAAATATCCACCATTATTCACCTCCACTTTGGCGAATAATTGTTAATCATTGAAGAGATCTCAAGTATGCTGTACAAAACAAGTTTATTTCTACTAATTCATTGTTGCCCTTTCAGAGATCTGATTATTCATGTAGGTGCCACCTATATCATAAACCCTGACCGAATTAACTCTTCACACCAAACCATCAGCAAGGCTGTGGTTTAGCAGCACCTAGTGGCCCCTGGCACCTTACTTTTTCTCTTAGGCAACTCAGGAATTTTAGTTTTTTCATAAAATAAAAAAGCATATGCTGGGCACCCTGGATTTCACAGTTTCAGAGCACTGGACTTCATTCAATTTTCCTTAGGGTGCAGCCTTGATCAGGATCTACATTCTCTGCACTCTTCTCTCTACATTTCCGTTGGTGCCAATAAGGAGAATTTGTCAAATGATCAAAACCTCTTAGGCTGTTGATGATCTTGTTTATTCTCATAATTTTAAAGAATGATTCAGCAGTGTTAATGAAAAGAGAAATTAGATTCTGGTCATCCTCAGGGTTTAAAGGTTTACAGCATGCTTTCTTGCTAAAATGGATCAGACAACACTGTACATGTTTCGTTGACCGAAACATGCATGTCTAATTAAACCAATCTGACTTGATTCATCTATGGTACTGGGTAGTTGACAAAGCAATGTGCTACAAATTAATCAACTTAGTATGGGTGTATAAGACAACCCTTCACAAACAAACTGAAATTGTTGTAACATCTAAGTTGTCAGTAGCCACTTGGCTAGTGAGTTGAAAAGTTAGTGTCAAGCCCTGAATAAATGTATTAAAGGCTGAGAGGTTGAATGCCATAACAGATCAAGAAACAACATCAAAAAGACAACTATACCTTGGGTGATTTCTCCTTTGCTTTCTTCAAAACTGGTGAGGCAAACTCAAATCTGAATGACCTGTCACATATTGTGAAAACATCTAAATGCTGTACCTCTGCCTCAGTTATTGGTTTCCCATTGACAAGAGTTTGGTTAGATGTGCTGAGGTTGACAATTCTTATCTGCAAGAAAACAAAAAAGTGAAAAACTTAATTGTAAATGGCTGATTATTGCAGACTAGACATATTATTTGAGCCACTGACTTAACTCCCATAAGTGAGTGACAAGTAACCTTTCCTTACTAGTTCAGCAGGAGGGTACTATTCTATAATCAGAACAAATTCTTGCGTATGAGAATGATGTTTGCAGTAGGGAGCACTACTTAAGCAGTAGTGAAAATAAAACCTGAAAAAAAAAAAAAGAAAACAAACAAACAAACAAAACAAAAGAGAAAAAATTTAGGCCTGTATAGGATTTTAACCCATGACCTCAGCAAAACTGGTGCAGTGCTCTACCAACTGAGCTAACAAGCCAACTGGGATCTGTGTATTATGGTGGTTTGTAATAAACCCACGAGGCGATGAGTCAACAGCGATGAATATATGAAAATCCTATATATTTTGAACTGCGGTTCACAAATTCTCCTGTCTTATTAACAAAGAAAAGTATGGCAGTGGGTAGAGGGTCTTTTATGTTTGTCTAGTAAAGAAGCAAAATATTTCATGGTGGTGTTGTCTACCTCTCTGTCCTCCCTAGGACATAAGTGGGGACCATCAAAATGGTTCATCAGTGTTATTCCATGCAAATGTTAACCTCACTAAATAATCCCATTTGAATTAATAAAACTGTTGCAGTATTGTACAATTGACAAATGAACAAAAGTGTCACATCTACTGCAATCCTGGTTGCCATTTTGAATCAATGTGTTGTCATAGCAACCAAAATGTTGAAATGTGAAACTCCAGTTTATTTACAAATGATTTAAAATTTACTTCCAGAAACTTTATTACTCCATCTTATTCTTGGCATTGATTTATCAAGTTATAACAGACATTTGCAACTGAAACTGTATTCATGAACAACACATCCCCTTTTGGCCAGTTGAAAATAAATGCAAAATTCTATCCGTTATGCATGGTTTCATCACACTAAACAGCAAAAAGTCTATAAGCAAAAATGTTCATCCCAAATTCCAAAGATATCACGAGAAGAAAAACGTTTGTTCTTTGAATAGTAGCTGTCAAACTGGCACAGCAGATAAAGAAACAATAGACACTGACACCGTAATATTTTAATTTGGCCAACAACTCTCCTCTCTGCAACTCAATTGTGTAATCAGCTGGGGTGCTTTCCTTGCAGAAGCATACCAAACTGTAGCATACCAACCTGTAGCTTTATCCGTCAACAACTTATTTTTGCACAACTTACGAATACAGTAAATTTAGTTTTTTTCTGTCACAGGTTAAAGCTGTCTGAAAAAATATCCATGGCTGTGGGAAGCCCATATGATATGATCTGGAAACGAGTCACATCAAAGGTGAACTGTACATTGTTTATGAGATTACTCTACAACAACTACCGTTGCAGAGACATTCTCTTTGATGCATCTCAATCGAACCCGATAAAAGGGCCGAAAGCTCTTTAATTTAGGATGCGGCGAGCGAGACATTTGCCTCGAATCACTGAACTACAGTAGAAGCGAGTAAAAAAATTCTTGCAAATCGAAGATGGAAACTCGTTTGTTTTTCATTTCCCCTGTCATACTTCGGAGGCGACAAGCGAGAGATCTGTTTGCCTGATTGGACTCGAGTCACTGAACTACAGGTGAAGCGATGGGAATATTCTTCCACATCAACAATCGATCGGCAATGCTTAACTTCGCTGAAAATTACGGCAAGAGTAAAATCTTTACCTTGTCTTTGTCTTCGACTTTTACCAAAGCGTGCTCCAATGAAACGTTTGGCAATTGAATCCTTATGTCACAAGCCGGTTTTCTGTGGCAAAGAAGAATAATCCTTAAACCTTAGACTGAAAGATATATTGATTTGTAAAAATAGTCAACGTTTTAACTTTCGCATGAGACTTGTTGCAGTGTGAGAGCTCTACGCTTACCTTCCAAATAAACATTCGGTTGTTCTTAATGGAAATTGTGGTCCATCCGCCCCATTTCTTTTGATCACCACGATTTTTCCGATGAGTTCATTCATAGTTGTGGTATATCACCAATCAGCGCGTTAAAATTTCAATAAAACGTAAATAAAACGATAAAATAGCCGCACAAGAACTGCCTGTGTCGCGCGGGAATGCCAACGGTGAATAAATTCCAACGGACTTTTGGGACTATTTGATTTCTCCGCCTTGGCTTTTCATTGGACAAAATGAACTATCATGTGTGGCCAATCGAGAGCGGCTATTTCCGATCATAACCGATAATTGCCGATTATAGCCGAGTCAGACACGAAAATAAAGCAATGCAATGTGAGGAGGCCAAAGTTAGTTGGATCCAACAATGTTGTGCTTCGAGTGCTTGAAGCATCGATCTTTTGAGAGGATACTCTCGTTTCAAAATGATCAACAATGTGGATTTAGCGTCGTTTTGAAAATTGTTGTAAATTGTCAAGATTTTTTGCGGGATCCATTTAATATAGGGCTTTCTTGAATCTTGAACTTAAATTAAAATTAAAATATTTTGCGCCTCGATCGAACAAGATGTCTTTGAGGACAAGTATTAATTTAAAAGTTAAGAGGCGTGTATGTTTGCTGAGCATCGGTTCTGTACTTTACGAACATTTTTCCATCTTGTAAAAACATTTTCTCTGCATATGGTGGATCTGGCCTCATACGGTCCACATAAGGGGACTCGGCAAGCACACCTTGACTTTCCTAAGCAGGTAAAATTCCTCCAGATGAACTGAAAATTATATTTTTTCACTTTTAACTTTGACCAACATTATATTTGTGACACTCCTGTCATATTAAATTATCTCTGCTGTTTCACAGAGTCAGTAAGAGCCGATGTTATTTGTCAGTTATTTACTCCCGTGGTAAATGACAAACATGCCACAAAAATTATTAGTCCTCCCAATTTTTTTCAACCCGAGTTGTAGCTTGTTTTCTGCCAAGTGAAGTGAAACCAATTGAAACATAGAAGTAATTGCAAAGACCAGTCAGAACACAAAGTGAAACAAGTAACCTGCCTGAGGTGCACGCAAATGCCACTGATCAAGTCATCAATGGTTTCAGTTTGAAGTTACTTGTTGAGATATACGAGTTGAGTTTTATAAATCAAATTGGTCTTAAAGGTAAGGTTGCTTGATCAGTTTAGACTCCATTCATTTGATATTGGCCAAAACTAATGTTCTTGTCTGTGCCTACAAATTTAGCCCCTCCAACTCTAATCCATGAGGACAACTTCAATCATTGGCAAGGCTCGAAAGGCCTTCTTTACTTGCACACAGAACATGATTGTAAGGACCTGGTTTTGCCTTGATATCCTTTCTGGTGTAATAACCTCTGCATTCTCCTCTCACACATTATGATTTTGATTGTCTCTTAAATCAATGTGATTGTACAGCGTAAAAAAGAGTTCACATCAGAAATTAACAAAAAGTTTTATTCCACCTCCATCAAGCCTTAGAATCTAACATAAAAATAGAGAAAATTTTGGGGCTAGTTTAAGAGTGTTCCAGCAAGATTACCCTTTCATGAAAAGAGATTTATTTTACATTTTTTTTCTATTTACATTTTGTAATACAAAATCTTTGTCAAATGAGTATAAGTAGGAAGGTATATTAATTATAACTGCTAAAATGGCTATTTAAAAGATTTAGTAGTTAACCATAACATGTATCTCTAATGAAGAGAAACACCTGATAAACATTTGAATTCTGGGATTTAGGGGCCTGATGACTGTTATCCTGAATATTAGTTTGTTTAGACACTAGAGAGATCTGAGAAAACCATTCAAACCTTTCTTTAAAATAAACGGCATCATAGCACATGCCAAAGAGATGATATGACATCACCAGAGAAAAAATTGTTTCAGGGAAGAATAACTTTGCAGTACGAATGCTTGTCACCTCAGTTACAGCTACATTTAGCAATACAGTCATTGTAAAACAATCTTACTTTTGAAGTAAAATTGAAAATTTGACTTTACTGTTAGCATGCCAAACCCTTTCAAAAGGAGATGTCATATTTTTAAGGCAAAATCACTCCAGCCTATTTAATGTAAATGTCCTGTAAATGAGCATTAATTTGTGAATAGATTTTGTTCCTCCCTTGGCACTTTAATTTTATTAAGGTAATGTTTCACAAGTTTTTTTAATTCAAAAATAAAAACTGCCCTTCCCATTCCCTGACAGGATCTTTGAGAACCTATTGTTTATCTTTACTGCAGATTTCTTGATTATTCTCTAAACAAGACAGCTTTTTAGTTTGCAAATATATTCTTAAAATTAATTTTGAAATTAAATATCTCCTCAGCATTGCTGTCAGAGATACCAGCTAGAAAATTTCACAAACAGATCATGGAGGTATTTAAAGTGTTTCTACCATGCCCTGAAGATCATAAAGACACTCATAATTACACAACTGAAAAGGTGCAAAGATGAGCAAATCTGGAGAAAAATACATCACAGAATACATTCGTAAAACTCAAACCTCAGCTTGACAATTTTTTCCTCTCTTAATATATCTTATTTGTGCATGCAACAAAATCATCAGGCTAGTTCATTTTTTTTTAGTTGGCAAAGATGTAGATAATTAAAAACATTTACATTGTAAATTTGAGGATAATAAAAATTAACAATTTGTTACATCAATGTCCTTCTAACCTAATCACTCTGTAGAATGCAAATGTTCTGCTTTAACTACTCTTGCCCCTTTTAAGATTGCATTTTAAATGCATTTTTGATGTCTCTAATAACATAGTCAATTTTAGCTATGATAAATAGGCCGGATAATTGTGTGTAATGTAATTCAAGTTCGGATGGCAACCAGAAATTACCAAAAGTAATGTTAGCATTCTCAGTGATGGACACCAATGTGGTTTAGTAGACTCGTATGTGTAGGAAACAAATTGTGACTTCAATACAGTTTGTTAAGAAAACTCAAAACAAAACAAAACAAAAAATCATTTTCACCCTTAGGGCAGACATTTAAGTCAAAACTGCAATGTACATCATGCAGCAAAGGTAGGTGACTTAAAAAGGAATACTTCTTAATCATACACTGTGCCTCTCTTGTTGTTTTTAAGTTGTCCAACTGGTTCTTTCTTGTAAAAAGAAAAAAAAAATCAAATTCTTTGTAGTTCACAACCTGCCTTAATATCAAAGTCATTGGCATTTCATTAATCCTAAGCATGGACACGTTGTGAGTGATTACCCAGTATATAACAATAAGATTGAGTGACCTTTCGAGCCAGTATCTATGTAGAGGACTGATAAAATGTAAGATTGATTCAACATGATATAATTGTGGAATTTCTTCTCTCCCAAATTAACAAAAATCAATCGAAACCCACTATCCTTTTAGTAAAGTCTTCAACAAGAACTAGTCTATCTATATGGCTGTTTAGCATCTTCTGTACCACCTTATTACAAGAAATTTTCAAGAATGTTGTTTTACACTTGTGCGTGTGTGTGTGTGTGTGTGTGTGTTTGTGTGTGGGAAAGAATTCTGAAGTCTCTTGCACTGTATTCATAACACCTCTATCAGGTGATTTTGTCAAGATTATTCCCCCATTTCACGACGAATTTTGCAATTTTTCTCCAAAATAATAGTTAACGATTTCAACAGTAACAACAAGAAAAATATTTTGTTTATGATACTTTTAAATGGTACATAATGCCATCATCATGGTATTTTTCCCTTGAAGTTATGTTATACATATCACCTATTGGTTATTTCATGAATATCTGGAGGAATTAAGGCCACAAAATTTTGGTCATACATGCATTTTAAGAAGGTGACACTGCGTTTCACATGACTGTCATTTACAGTTCTAGTTATTTTGGTAATCATGAAAACAAAGAGTTGCAAAAAAATTCAAGTAATAGGGAAAATCAACCTTGGTCTTCAACCTCCTTCACAACGTCTCACCTTATCTCAATTTGGCCCAGCCAATGATGAATTTAATTTGATTAAATTTTAATTTTGCACTATTTAATGGTGTATTTCTCGCTAGATGGGAATTTTAGTCCAACAGTACAACCTTATTTGGATGCACTAGCTTAGCTGTTAATGCACTCTGTCCAAAGCCTTTAACATCAACTGACACCTTTGTAAGTTGAATAACCACTAGTGCCAAAGCTTGGCATTTGTCCCATTGGTCTTGGCTGCATCATTCCCATTGCTCTGTTTGTCATTGGCATCATGGGCACATTAGATGACACTGCCATCTGACTCATGTTTGGACCCACCATGTTTATCTGTGGTGCTGCCATGCCCATGACAGGGTAATTTGTGTTCACTGATGGCATCCCCATGGGGTACATACCCTGCTGTGGCATGTTATAGGAGCCCATTGCTGCTGATGGAACCTGCTGTTGGTTTGAATACAACTCATTCATGCTTGGCTGAGCTGGTTTGTCCTTATGGCTCATGGGGCTTAAATTGTCTAGACTAATGTCAACTGGACTGTTTGACCATGTTGTTGATTTCACCGCCTTCTGTAAATAACACACAAAAAAAAAGCATAACTATCATGCTCTGGACAAAAGGCAGATTAGTGTTTAATTTAGCAAGCTACAACCCCCACCAAAGATAATTATTTTTAAAATTGGCCACAACATATTCATCTGAAGTGCACACTAATTGTGCATCATCATTAGTACCAATGTTTCCTATCAACCTCTAGTAATACCACTATGCTTGTGCTTATCTCACAAAAGTGAAACAGGCTTTACTGATAGGTTTTTTTTTTTCCTCTCAGAGGGCACAGAAATCCTGCAATCTGATTGGTTCTTAGTGTGGTCTGGATTTGCCTATTACTGCCCTCAGGTACATTAACACTTTCATGAGTTGCAAGAACATCCCTACCTTTGTTGCCATTTTTTGTGAATATATTTCGTTTTACCAGCTGGCAGTATTTTTTAAGCAAATAAACCTGATGTACAACTTATCAATCCTCCCTCTCTCTCTCTCTCTCTCTCTCTCTCTCTCTCTCTCTCTCTCTATAACACACATATCTGCAGACAATTGGCCAGAGATTACAGTAGGTTACAGATATTATCAATAGCTTACCTGACGTAAAGGTGTGCCCTCTGCCATCACACTTGAAGATGATTTTCCACTGGGTAATAATGGCTTTGATGGGGTCATAGTCTGTGGTTTTATCAGCATTGGTTGTTGACTTGGTTGAGGTTGAACAAAAAGCTGGGTGTTTGGTATCTGGCCCTGCATTGCTCCAGAAACAAATTGGTTATTCATTAAGGCAGAATGCACAGGTTGAGGCTGTAGAGAAGCTTGGGGCTGTAGCCCAGGTTGTGACTGTAGTGATGGTTGCGGCTGTAGTGAGGTTTGAGACAGTAGCCCTGGTTGAGGCTGCAACCCAGGTTGAGTCAGAGGACCCAATTGAGGATGTAGCCCTGGAAGCACAGTGCTTTGTGGCTGAAGAGGGGGATTCACTACTGACTGAGATTGGGGAGCAGAGAAAAACTGACTTGCATTTTGAGGAACTGACTGGCTCACTGTAATCTGTGGTGAGGAAAAAAAAAATAAAAGAGAAAAAGTATTTTTTTAAATGTCTTTTGAAAGGGGACAGTCCGATACCACTAGCGACTAAAAGCATTTCATTTTAGTCCAAGTGGTCAGCTGCGACATTTCGAGATTTAAGCCAATAATCAATTGCTATGTTGACTGTTGACCAGCCAAACTGTTGGCACAATTAAAAATTACAGATGATTTGGCTGAAAGAGTTAAAATGCAATAAACAGATTTTTTGGGATATTTGTATGATAAAGCATTACTGATTTACACTCATTTTACTCCTACAAAGTTGAAGAAGAATGGAACTGTTTGCTTGCAAACTTTTCTGTAATTACCTTAAAAGGTAAGGCCCACATTTAAAAAACTCTGCATTAGAAATGTTAAAAAATTAGGGACAATTGCTTTCTTTTCAAGGGTACTTGACAAATGAGTACAAAACTTAAGGACAACTGTCACAACATTGCATGCTAATCTTTCAGACAAGGCAGTTGGCAGCACATATTCAGTGATTAAACAAATCACTTTTGCCTCACTCCCTGTTCCATAGGTAACACATCAAACATTCACTACCATATCCATGTGTAGAATTGAAATTAATGTTACTCAAATGTGAAGAAAGAATGGAAAATGGAATAGCCTTACTGCATGAGAATTGTGACACAAAGTAACAAAAAAAGCCTCCTTGCAGAAACCTCTGAAGGAAGAGAGAGGAATGGAGGCCAAAAAAACCAAAGGAGATTAGGTGCACCCCAAGAGTGGAAGACAGGGTTAAAAGTGAACAAGAGAGTTATAAAATCCCAAGATAATTATAAATAAAGGAGTACTTTGGGTAGCTTATGCTTCTTAGGGGAGCAAAAAGGAAAAAAAGATTCTCAACTTCACCTGATTAGACTGAGGTGTAGTATTACTCTCAAAACCAGAAAAAAATGCATCATCGGACAAATTGCTCTGGGGAGGACTTCCAGTACGGAAAGCTGCAAAATCACCAAAGTCATCACTTG